AGGCCGGGGAGTAGCAGTTTTTTCTTTTTTTTTTCTTTAACGAAGAATTGTAAAATTGTAAAACTATTTTACTGTACACTGAATAAACAAGAAGCTTCGTCACAAGAGATCTCAATTTCATGAACTCCTTGAGCGATAGTTATAGCCACCAAAAGAGGACAGCAACAAATTTCTTGAAAAAGAGTAAGAGACTGAGTTGAAAGACCCGATCCTCTTCTTGCAACTGCTATTAGACGAACGGTTACTGCTGTCAACCTCCATGAAAATTTCAAAGTCAAAATCAACTGTAGGTAAGATGAAATATAAGTCAATATCTTTAAAAGCAAAAGCTGTTTTATGCTTTATTTTCCACACTCGGAAAGACTCACATACGAAAATTTACGGCAATCCCGGCGATAGTAGGAAGCGCTTAGGGTTTACCTGGTGACTAATCTCAAGTGCGATGAATTTAAACTTGTTATCGGAGATAACTTCTTGTCCTTAGATTTTTCAGAATGACTGGACCTCATGAAGTGTTATATGCTGGTTTAAAATAAAAAAGTAACAAAAGACATTCAGGTAGAGGGGCTGTAAATTTATCGAACACATTTTCTTAGTTAAAGCAATCTAGTATTTCAAATTAATCGATTGGTCCATAAATAAAGGTTGAGGTGATTATATTCAAGATGAAAATCGTCCCCAGGCATTTATTTGCGCGGACCACAAGCCAAAGAATACACTTCTGAACGGAATAGAGAGATTTCTTTACGTTGAATGTAAGGTGGCTGACGATGACTTATGAAAAAATCTTTTTTTTTTTTCAGAGATCTAAAAACACGGCGAAATATTTTGGCGAAAAAAGAGTGCAAATAGAATGAAAAAGATGGTAATTTGAACCTCGGTCCTTGAATGAAGGAAAGTCTCGCTATTTTAAAAACAATCGTCTGTTAAAGGAAATGTAACAATCGCTGACTCCCTTTCTGCCATTGAGATCTTCCTAGCATTGTATCAGATGCAAATCTGTCTCCTTTAGAGTATTTTAAATTGAACAGTGTCGCCAGCAAAAATATCAAACAAAGCGCAAATGATGTATTGAACTCAATTAGAAGTAATGGAGATTATTAAGGAAACAAGGTATGCTTAGGGCCTGGTTAAACTAGGAAACTTTGTTGCGGAAACATTGTTTCCTATTATGTTTCCCGGGGTGGCTAAATTAGCGGGAAACAAACAAAATGTTTTGCTGCCCCAGTGGCTAAACGAGGAAACATTGTTTCCGAAAACAAATGAGCTACGCATGCGTGTATGAATAAACTGACTTCGAGGAAGTCTGGGGATCATAGGATGTTCACATTTTCATTGTATCAAAGTCCTTTGTGGCATTCTGCACAATAATAAGGAACTTCAGCATCTTGTACCACTTCCAAGAGGGGTTGTACACATCGCTTGTTTGTTGACCGGACTTCTTTTTTCTTTTCAGGGCCTGTTCCCTCATAAATTGTGACCTGATAATTTTCCACTTGCTCTTGTAATCCTCTCGGCTGATATCATATTTTTCTGTCATCAGTAGATCGATTTGCGAATACGCCATCTCCTTACTGTCCCTGTTCATGTAGTCCTTATGACCCACGTCCCAGAGACAACGCCTTTCCTCATACAGCGTAATTTGCATTTCAATTTCTTCATCTTTCCAATTCCTTTCCCTTCCCTTTCCCTTCTTGGAGCGTGACCTGCTTGAATTTCTTCGCAGTCAGCCATTTTAAATGTTGTCTGCTCGCCGTTGCTATGAAACATTTTTCAATGTGCGAGCGGCACTGGAAACTAATCAACATTGTTTCATCGCGGCTAAACTAAGAAACATAAGTTTCGGACGCAAAATTTGTGTCCGGGAAACAAAAATGTTTTTGTCTGCAGGCAAAAACAATTTTTGTTTCCAAGCAGCGAAATTTGTTTCCGCAACATGTTTCCCGCGCGGCTAAACTGGGAAACATTTGCCACCGCAACAATGTTTCCGCAACAAAGTTTCCTAGTTTAGCCAGGCCTTTATTATCTTAAGATTTTTGCGATATTTTCGCAAAGCAGTCACTATTAGGCTTACCACCTTGATGTTTTACAGGGTAACAGTAGTATGTAAGGAATATTGCTTCGTCGCGCTAAATACATACATACATACATAC